AAGAAAAATCAGAGTTAACATTTTGGATCCCGTGACCCTTCCTCAAACCAGTTATCAGGCATTCAAAGGCTCAATCCTGCATCCTCTCCAAAAGTGTTATTGTTAATAAAATATCAGATACATTTCCCAGTATTTCTGGAGTAGACATTTTATGCATTTGTAAATATATTGATGTTTAAATAGCCATTATGAGAGAAAATGATTCACAAAGCTGGACAGAAAATAATTGTATTAGTGATTCACATAATATGTGATAACTACAATTACAGAATAACATATTTATTGGCCCTTGTTTTCTGAAATACCATTATTCATTTTTGAGCCTGGAAATTACTGCCACCGGGATAATATTTGCCTACTATTTTAACAATAGTCTGAGGAATATGGTATAAACAGAAAATGTTAAGAAATTGGGAGCGCACAAATTTGTTGAAATTTGCAGGACTGTGAGTGGGTGAGGGATTCAAACACAAGAATGATAATTTTAAATTTGAAACATTGCTGGAACAGGACTCAAATTCTGTCAGCAGAAAAATGTTAGGTGAATAGGGCTTGGTGTGAATTATGGTATGGACAACTGGCTTTTGGATAAACTGAAATCTACAGGAGTAGACAATGGATGGCTGTCCTGGAAATTATTAAAATAATTGAATATGCAGGTAACTTCCCCCATTTCCTTCAGTAATTTGGTGATAACAGGGTAAATGAAATTCGAAACACAGATAGATCAGTCATGATAATATTGAATGGCAGAGCTGGCTTGAGGGGTCAAATTGTTCACTTCTGCACCTATTTCATTTGAATATAATGTATTCCTGAAAAATCCACCTCAGTGATGAACTTTTACTTCATCATCCTTAATCTCTCCTATTTGGCTCAATGCTAAGTCTTTGCTTTATAATAATTCTATGAAGCACTGTGGATGTGTTATTGCATTAAAGGTGCCATATAAATATAAAGTGAGTGGGACTGGCCTATGCGAGGAACACAAAATGGACAGATAGGGAATAGACTGCTGATTTTTCATCCAGTCAATCTTGTTTCCATTAAAGATCACAAAACAAATGCTAAACCTTCAATTTTCCAGACCAATGCAAAATACAGCCAGGCTCACTGAAATATCAGTTGCTACTTTGTAACAGTCGTTTCCTGATGCTGGGGTTTTGGCCAGTTTCACTCCCTATTTATAGTTTGTCAAACAGACCGGTGGTTGAGGGCTTCAGTAAATCATGAGCTGAGGAAAGGGTGAAGGTTGCCAGTTTTTAGAAGTGGACTTAGAGGTGATGGAGACGCCATGTGATGGGATGTTTAACTCGGAGTCCAATAAGACGACAAGATTGCACACAGTCTGGTTCAGCCTGATACCGGGATTGGAATCGATGGCCAGGGACTAGAATTGGTGATGGGGTTGGGACGGGGAGTGGGAGCGGTGGAAAAAATCTGGTCCACAGACACGACAGCTTTGCTCGGTTATTAATAATGGGCGTTTTTGGAAGGATGTAAGAAGTCAACTGAAGAAATAACAGAGCCACTAAAACAAGCCTAGCCAGAGTAACGTGTACATGGAACACATATTGGTGGAAGTTTATTACTTTTTTCATTTGAATGGCCGATTGAAAGTGAAGAACATCTTAAATAATCAACATTTCCTCAACTATATCGAAATCAATCAGTTGCTTCAAAAAACAGCAGAAATGGAAGAGAGCAATTGATGCAAACAGGAAGCCATATGTTGAAATGAATTGCGACCAACGGAATAGAACATTATTGTAATCCGAGGCTATGACTTTCCAATCACTCGCATAAGAGGCACTCACCATCTAGAACGCAATTCGAAACAGTCTTTTCAAGGGAAACACTTTGTATATTTTTCTGCTGTACAACGGAATGGAAGTTCAGCCCCGACTTTTGTCTGCACGATTCGTGTTCATCTAAATATTACGGAAATCTGAACAATGCTTTAGCTAGAATGGACAACCTTGATTGACAACGGCGGCTCCTGATATGATCCAGTTAATGTTCGCACAGGCCTGCGGATGTTGGTAAAAAAGCTTGTTTAATAGCCTTCTGGTCTAGAATCTTCAGGATCTGCAAGTCAACAAGAAATTGCCTCACTACTGTACTATTCGCGTACAAACGGTGGTGCTGTGACCGCGATAGATGGCGCTCCGGAGCAGGAATCATTGAGTCACTGGCAGTCGCAGCCTCTTCCAGTAGAATCAAACTTAAGGCGAGGTCAGCAAATATATTTCATGGAAAAGAACATTATTTCGGATCAGTTATTTCAATTTATTTAGGTAAATTATAGCAGAAAGTAAGTCGCAATCTGAAGTGCAATAGGATACAAATATTAAAACATGGAGTTCTATAAAATGGTCACCATACCGCTTATTAACTGTTTTATTAAAAAGATGGGCCAAATCGTGCGTTTGGAACACCTAATGAAATGTCGTTAAAGCTTAAAATTAGCAATTAAATTTGCTAAAAATTGCCATATTTAAAGATCACAAATTATGAGCAATAGACGTTATGGAGGATCTTTGCAATGATTTGCATTCTTTGCAGACCATTATGAAAACTCAACACAAGGCTGAATATAAAGGTGGATTTTTGTTTAATGTTATAGAGACAGAGAAATAAGTTATTTTCCATGCAAGTCACAATGTAATGGATTCCATTAGTGTTGGAGGGGAGGGTGGGGTGGGGGGCACGGGTACGATGATTGAGATCCGTGTACTTTACCTTGAAGAAGCTTCGAGAAAACGCCAAATGATTTGATTATACGAGAATACACAACAAAAAAGACTTTCACATTTTACATCTGACAAATGCTGAAGCAGGGAGAAACAGGCACAATCACAAACTCACTCGAACGATTCTCTGCTATTTTATATATCAAATTTGAAGATCACTTCCTTACTTTTGTTTTTTTCCCTCTGGTGTTGAGTCCTTGCCTAATGTCAAATGGAACATGAAAAGAACAATATTTAGATTAACTTTGCATGAACCGGCTTCAATTAATCTTTTGGTCTAGCGTTTAATGAATAATGAGTTTACAGAGAGCTGTGCTTCTCTTTCTTTTTCGAAAAATAAGCTGTCACATATTTGATGACAAAGTCTTTTATTTTGAATATCGAGCCTGATTCACGAACTATTTCTATGACATGAATCCAATCTGTCCTAAAGTTAAGCTGGGTTTTTTAAATGAAGTTTTTAAAATTAATATTCCTGTTATTCGGTAAAATTATGAAGTATTGGTTGTGCTTAACATTTCGTTCACACCCAACTTTACCTTTTAGTATAAATAATAAAAATGCTTGTTCTTCAATGCTTCTTACATATTTATTTTTTTAACCAAGTACTTTTAACACATAATTACACTTTAAATGTTTCTCCAAGAGGCATACTTTATACAGTTTTCTACTATAATTATCAATTTTTCTGTTTGAAACAGCCTCTCATTATTTCATTGACCTGTGCTTCCTGACTCTCCTTTGTGTTCCAGATCGGGTAGCAAAACATTTACAAACTAGATGGCAGTGGTCCAAACCAGGATAACAACATTATAATCAATTCGGCAGTCTATACTGTCACAGGAGCTGCTTCAATTCAAAAACAAAGTGAAACTCTAGTTTGATTTAGTTCTGTAGCATAAATCAAAAATCCCTAAAATTAAAAGAAACGAAGTTTCTTAATATTTGCTACCAATTTTCCTTACAAATTCCAATTGTATCTATTCGTTTTGGAGAAAAGTAAATGTCAGATTGTTAAAATCAGAAACAATTTCCAGCAGTGTTTGAAAAGAAAGAGGTGACAGCAAATTCTGTCCTTCACAGTAATTGTAACGATGACATGAGGCGAATGCAATGAATGCTAGTTCTATTATGTTTCCTTACAACTTATTTTCTGCCATTCTCCTGTTAGTTCATAACCCCCAGCATATTGGTGGCAAACAATAAATAAATTACAATAGCTCAGTAATGGAACACAGATTTTCTGAAGATGATTTTATGTGGCGTTGTAAACAAAACTCAATATGTTTATATAACTTTTTTCTATTTTCTATGTAACTTAAGTTACGTTGTAGATACTACGACATCCGCCCCCGCACATTATTAATTTTACTAAAGCTAGGATCTGTTGTACCTTAAATCTAGTTATTGAATATGGTCTAACGAGGTTTGCTATAGAAATTCACAAGGTTGAATTTACGTGAGAAATGAAGTTTGGAAAGGAAACTGTTACCTCGGCAAATCCCACCAACCTGACCACCACCACGCTCCCCCATCCCCCAACCCCACACCCAGCCACAGCCAGCCACACACACGCCGGGACATTGCTTTATATGGTGTACAAACTTCAACCAAGAGAAAAGAATTGTAAAAGGCGATAATCGAATTGAATAGATCGCCAACACAGTTACAAAATCCACTTCATTACAAGCAAACTTCAAAGGTGCGGCGAGCAATTAGGAATGCTGTGTGTTTGTATTTCTCCGGAGACCTTAGAACTTTATTGTTTTTTTTTAAAGAAAGTCTTTCTGCAGCCGGGTAAGGAAATCTGAACGTCAGGTTTTAAGGCTGCAATTTGCCGCTGGCTCCTCATTACAATATTCCTGGATTTGGTTCAATCGGTGAAATAATTCCTGCATTTATCTCGACATCCTGTTGAAGTTTGCATTCAATTAGCTACGTCTCCTCACCTAGATTTGCAGAAACATTGCATCCCTTCTACATGTTATTTTAAATAGAAGTGTTGAATAAAAATAAAATCCTCAGGACAGTAAGCCTAAAGCTTTATGAAGCGAACACTGAAGGGTCATAGAGATGGAACTGAATGCACTGTCTATCAATTATTTATCGCACTGGGCTGGCTGCTCGATATTCCGAAGGAGGAATGTGATAAGATTTTCTCATTTTGTGGTGACGTTTGGAGCCATGTGATCTCCGCTTGAATATAAGGCTCCAGAGAGAACCGCCCTCTCCCCTTTGCTTATAATTTGTGTGTTGAGGTCTGGTCGTTATTTTGTTGTGTTTTTTTTAACATTCCTGACGAAAAGCTGAAAGCGGATCTATTGAAGTTGATTCGAGACCCGATTGATCTTTGGAGCCGAGGCGATAAAAAGGGATTGATTGAGAAAGTTGGCAGGAGGGACAATTTCCTGTTTCTTCGGCTGCCTTCCTCGCTTGGATTCCTTATGTGGGAGGCTGGTGCTGGGTCGCTGAGGATCGTCGCGGAGCCTCTCAGATCAGCTGTCGTACTCTCGGATCTGTTTGTATGATGACTCTGAGTTCTGAAATGTCCGATGCGTCCATCGTCTCGGAAGAGACCGACATTGATGTGGTGGGAGACGGGGCAGAAGGAGAGGAAGATGAGGCCCAGGAGGGCAGATCCTTTGGGGAAATGGTGAGCCAAATGCACTCTGAGATTCTGAGCCCTCGCTCGCCCTGTGTAGATAGCGCATCGAACAGGGACCCTTACAAACCAGTCAGCAAGAACCCTCTGGTAAAGCCTCCTTACTCGTACATAGCCTTAATCACAATGGCAATCCTCCAAAGTCCAAAAAAAAGACTGACTCTGAGTGAGATCTGTGAATTTATCAGCAATAGGTTCCCATATTACAGAGAGAAGTTCCCTGCCTGGCAAAACTCCATCCGACACAATTTGTCCTTAAACGACTGTTTCGTGAAAATTCCCAGGGAGCCTGGTAATCCGGGGAAAGGCAACTACTGGACTCTGGATCCCGAATCTGCAGATATGTTTGACAATGGCAGCTTCTTGCGGAGACGAAAAAGGTTCAAAAGACAGCAATCGGCGGATCTGCTCCGGGAGCACGGTAATTATATTCCTGCTTATGGTTACGGACCTTACGGCTGTGGATACGGGCTTCAAATCCAAGCTTACCACCCTCATTCTGCCGTTTTTGCCTTTCAGCATCCATCAAGGCAGGCCCATCCCATCCCCCCGCCGTCCATGCTGCCAGCGAACGAACTAGCCAGGAATTCATTCTACCCGCAGCTTAGCCCCACACTCCCGTCGGTGCAATCTGTCAAACACAGCTCAACCATATCAAGGTCCCCTTTCTCCATTGAAAATATCATCGGGGCCAACGCCAATCCGGCCAGCTGCTTATCCCAGTCTCCAGCAGTTCCTTTATTATCATCAACACCCTCCTGTCCAACTGCTTTGCCAAGTCTGCACCAAGAGACTGTGATACAAAATGCAGGGAACTTTAATGGTAGGATTCCAAATGTTAACGGCTGTTAATAAAATATAATGCACGCCTATCTGAAGGTAGGATTATTTTTGTACATTTCCTATACACCAACAGAATAACGGAGAGTCGAGAGTTCACCAGACTTAATCCTGTAAATATATTTATGTACATTTCCAAAGACTTGAGTCGGAATGCTGACATATCGTAAAGCGTTTATATTAAGAAAAGAACTTGGTACTGTTTCTGAACCTACAGTGATGGTGTGTATAGGACATCTCAGGTGTAAACATTCAACTTGACTTAGAAAATTAAATTGTCCATTGAAGGCAATGCAAAGTAAATCTGTTTTTGAATGACATGAAGCCATCTAATGGTTTATCAACCGCTCACTATGTACAGTGTAAGAACATTCTCTTTAAAGAATATTACAGGGGAAATTAAAAAACAGATTTTTAAAGCTGTGAAACAGAATATTCTGAAAAGCCTTTTCAGCTGATATTTTAACCTGTGTTTTGTATATGGATATTACATTTTATACACTCTGTACCTCTCTAAGATTCAAAATTGTTTAAGAAGTTGATACTGGCGAACCTTCCTGTATTATTTTAATGCAATATTTTCACACTTTTCTTTAAAAAAATAAAATCTATTATTTAAAATATTTCTTGGTGTGTTTGCTTAAATTCAGTAGTAAGAAAGTTTGGACTTATTGGATTATCTGAGATTTAATATAATTATGCAAATAAGACTAGAATTTAGCGGGCAAGAGAAATATGTCTTAATATTTAAGTTGCATTTACTTGTGCAACTAAATTTGCAGCAGAGCTTGTTAACACCCAGACAAAATAGTTTGACATTAAACTATGCTTTTAAAATGGAATCGTAAGGCCCCTGAAATGCAAAAGATTTATCAACAGTGTTGTAAACAGAAATATGTTTTCGAGTTACCCTGTTTGTTTTATGCAATGCATTATTTTACTTACGGGGACCTATCAAGATTATGTAACATTGTGAAAGAGAAAAGAACATTTTAGTATTTTAGGAAAATGGATTGAACTTGTCAATTATATAGGAAACAAATTGGATTCAGTTTGAATGTACATTTTAGTTATTACTTATTTCAAGTTCCAGGTTATACTCTTCAGCTTCTAGTTGAACTATCTGAACCAAATGTACCAGGCATGGATGTAATTTCTGTGAATTTATTTAAACCAAAGTGAGCTAAGGAATCATATATTGTGCATGGTGTTCGCTGCACCATTTTGAAACTTATTAAAGTGAGAATATTCAATAAACAAATCCCTTTCTACTTGACGTCCAGGTACAATTTTAAGAACTTTGTGTTAGTCGGCGATACCGAGAAACTGTTGCCCGAGTTATTAATGCATGTTCGGGCATGCAGATTTTAACAGCCGTGTGTCTATGCTTTTTGGACTTCATTCATGGGAAATTTTGAAAAATGTTTTAATGTCTACTGTTCTTGCAAATGCATCAAACGATTTAATTGAATCTTAGATCGAAGTGGTTACTGTTCAAAAAAGAAAGCAAAACCAACAAAACATTTAAAATATCAAGGTAAAAAATTGAAATGGGAGGGAAATAAGCTTATCCGCAGTCTACCCTTCATGAATCCTGAATGATGGCTTGTAAATACTGGCATTTGGTCTAATTATGACATGCGCTGATACGTTGATTCAGAACTGCCTAATCGTTTGGCCTAAAGGCATTGTGAAATCATATGTGCCAATATTTTCATTAAAAAAAATTCAGCAGACTTGTAATGGAAATATTTTAGACAAGCGAAGGATACGGTATAGTTATACTGAATAACCTTTCAAACGAATTGCTGCATTTAAAACACATTACTTATAACAGCTAAAGTAATAATTTTGACATTTAGCAAGGACTGAACTTCCAGACTCTACATATTTTGAATCGACTGCTAATAGCTGACTGGAAGAGATCGGGAAATAAATTTGATTTGAATAAATTATATTGCTAATAAAATAACAAGCTTCGAGAATTCTTTCGCGCATTCTATCTGCTTATTCTTTGAGGACTTTAAACGTTAGTTATATATTTAACAATAAGCTCAGGTTCGTTCGAGTTTCTCACCACCTGCGGATTAAAGTTGCTGACACCAAGCGCAAATATTAATTGTCGAAACAATAATAAGCAGCTTCCTTCACTGGGAATGACAAACCCCAGTGGAATTTGCTCAGATAACAAGGT